GTCGGGAGGCAAGTGAACACGAGCACGGGGGGCAGGAGGCACCGATACGGCCGGCGGAGGCAAGAGGGGGCTTTCCATTGGTTTTAAAAGTGCGGCAATTGGCGGAAACCGCCTCCCAGGATCTCAGGCAAGCCAGGCGCACCCCTGTCGCCCACCGCCCCTCCCCAGCACGCCCCTAGTCCCCTAGAGGTACAGGGCCTCCACCGTATGGGCTTGCTCTGGGCTTGGGGCTTGGGGACGGGGTGGAGCGGTGGCCTCGCATCTCCTCCATGTCCTCCCACATCCCTCAGTCTTCCCGCTAACGCTACCGCTACCGCTACCGCTGCCGCTACTACCACCACCACTACCATCCACCTGTATCTCCTCTATCTCCTAGACCGACCCAGCAGGCTTTCGCCGGCGCCGTCAACCGCGGCGCCCGCGCCTCTGTCTTTCGGATGCCATCCTCCAGCGGGACGGCCAAGGCCATGACTAGCATTCCTGCAGCCACATCATGTTGAGATGGAGGGTAGCTGGTACCTCTCGTTCAAACGTCACCGCCAGTCCGCACTTCTTTCCGAACCCGGATTGGACAATGACGATCACGAGCGATAAGCAAAAAGCAATCAAGGAGCAGTCATCGATGAAAGCATGCCCGTGGCATCTCAGACGCAGATAGAGTCTCAACCAGGCCAAGGCGGATAAAGGTCCCCTGAAGTTGGGCGGTCGGGGAACCCTTGACGGGCGCCTCATCTTCCTAGACAGAGGCTGGGGTTCCCTCACAAGGGTAGACTCACGAGGGTAGATGTGCCTCATTGCCACCAATTTTTGTTGCTTATGAGCCTCTTCGTGGCCCTAGGAGGGCTGCTGTTTGATGCTGCCTCTCGACTGACAACGCAACGGGAATCATCCCGCTGCCCAACCCGCCTGTCGCTTCGGTGAGTCGCACCAAGGTGCTGGCGCGCTTGGGCGACGTCGGGGTGCCTTTCCGACTCGAGGTGCACGAGTTCCGTACCCAATCCGGTCCCGCTCTTGTCGGGCTTTGCTTCTCCTTCGTCTCAGCATCACTCTGCCACGCCACGAGGCCGGGCGGAAATGGCTTGCCTTCTCTTGATCGCGCATCCCAAGGGTCCCAGGTCCCAGCCTCTGGCGTGTGCCATTACTCGACTGCTGGATTAGGATACCGGTCCGGGATCTTCAGGGTGATGGAACAACAAGGATCCCATCCCTCCAGTGTGGGAACCCGGCTCGTGCGCACTTGGCCCGACCGTGGTAGGCAAGCAGGCAGACCAGACGAACGGCGCCAATTTCCAAGCATCGCCCTCAATCCAGCCTCGACTGTTCTTGCCATCCCTCGGCACAGCCTCTGGCAACCAGGAGATGATGAGTTGAGACACAGCAGGCGACAAGCGCACTTGTAACGGCGGGCGAGCCGACAGGTAAGCCTGACAGCTGGTTGTCGCGTGACGCATTTGGGCTGCTCCTCGAGACCAACGAGCGGTCAAGCGGTGACCGAACAACCCCTGTCCTAGTCCGCGCAGCGTGTAGGATTGATGTTGTTTTTGAACGCCTACCTTGACTCGCCCACGCCTTGGATTCAGGGTCTTCTGGTCCGAAAAAAGCGATCAACAGTATATCATTCCAGCACCGACCTAAAGTCTACTTTCGGCTTCCCAGAACTATCCCACGCGTATAGGTCTCTTGGCTCAAAGTCATTCTTGTTTTGCAACCCTATCAGGCGATCATCTAGCCCATGCTGAGGGACTTGAGTCGGCACTTTGGTACATCAGTACTTCTTTCGGGTGATGGGTCTCGTGACCCCGAGTTCCGCTTCACTGCCATTCACCGACTCAGGATTTGTTCACTTCTTTCCTTCATGTTTTCCTTCCTATCTCTACCTAGCACAACTAGATCCGGTGCCCCTGACTGACTGAGCTTAATGCCGACCTCGACCTTCCTCGAAGAGTAGAATGGCCCGCCGGCGACAAAGGGATTCGGGAACCAAAGGAACAATCTCGGCTTCTAGAAGGTCTCAGCTCCAGAATTTTTACTAATGGCGCTGACGGCGGCTCTACGTTCGCGCCAGAAACGGAAGCCAGCCGTCGCCGGGGGATCCACCTGATGGATACGAACGCCGGCCAAGTGTGGAGCATCAAGAGTTGAAGCGCACTTGTTTCGGAGAAGAAGGATGGTGTTGCCACGACCAGGCCTCCAAGAGCCGGCGAAGCCACCGCAGCCTGTCAACACCCGTTGCTGTCCAAAGTCCCAGGCACGGCCAGCAGTTGCAACAGTCCAGCCTCGTTCACACACTGACTCAGTGACGTCTTCCGTGGTGCCGAACAGAAACTCCACATTTCATTCCCTCTGGCACAGGCACAGCAACGGATTCCCTCAAACCAGCCTGGGGGTTTCAGTGCAACTGTACCATGTGCTATCGGCGGCTCTTTCGCGGCGTGTTGGCGGCATTGGCGGCGGCAAAACATTTAGGACGAGAGCCTTCAAACTTCGCCCCCCATCATCAAGTGGATTCGCCGGTGGGAGCCGCAGCGAGCTCTTACGCAACAGAATTCAATAGACCCCATTGCGAAGAGTCCCGACCAGCCCAGTCGAAATGCAAGACATCAACGCCATGAGCAGAAGTACGACATGCACAGTAGATACCGTTCAGTCCCGCGATAAACACTCCGCAGCCTCCTAGCTACTTACATCGTCATCTCCTATGCCTCGGTCCCAATGGTGCAAACTCTCAGATCTGGCGATCCGGCAACAATAACGCGGTATGCTATGAAGTGCTACCCCGGCTCCGCACTGCTTCCCCATTCGCGAGGAGCCGGAAGGAAATAGGCGTGAAAGGCCGCCCGCGAGGGGGGAACAGGCCACCCCTAGATCTTGCACGTCGCAAATCGAGCTGGGAAATTCTCTCGGTGCTCTTCGCAGTTGACCTGTCAGATTGGCTTAGCCGCATATGGAATGAATCTCGACCCAGCTGCAACGCTATCCCTGCAGCTCATTTACGTGCAGGGTCTTAGTGGCTCAATGAAGTTGGTGTTATCGGCGAACAGCGATTGGTTCAAGTATGTATGCATTATTGCCTGAGGCACACCATTATACGTCCGTTGGTCGAGGCCTTGAGTGTGAGCCAACTTGAGAAGAGGTCAAGCCACGTGGATCTCCGATGCCGGGTTGGTTTCGACACAAACAAAAGCTGCCGTGAAGTGACGTCGCAACACTTCGGCTCGGCCGCTGGCCATCCATTATCAGCTCTTACGCGTGAGGAAGATATACTGATAGGATCAGGTGAACGAAGCGAGTTCCGCATGCATCGACAGATATTACTTTCGTTGCTTTCCACATTGATTGATTTACAAGGTTGATGATGACTTCCAAGACAGAAGACATTGATTGCCGTGAAGAGCTCAGGCCTTCTGTCAAGGCGATCGCCAGGTGCTGTTGGCGCCCAAATCGCGGTCTAAGGAACGCCATGAAGTCACATTTGGCGATCATACTTCAGGGATGGGGTATGGCTCATCCATGCTAGCAGCAGCAACTTCAGACGGAATCCATACCCTCTCTGTGACGTCAAACGCGAGGTTTTCGCAGTCACCAAGAAGCGATCGATTGCAATCGAGATGTGTGCTTCGCGCCTGGAGCTGATCAATTGACAGCACATCAGCGATGTCGGCTAGTGATCTTCGCGTCTTGCCGTCTGTTCCATGTATGCTAAGCCTGACCTGCATCGAGGGAACGCTGGCGTTGTCAGACAGTCGCATTGTCCATAGCACACTTGCTGGGCCTTTGAGCACTATGATGAAGTTTATGGGGGCCCAACTGCCATGCCCGAGAGTCAGTCGCGCTGGCAAGGGGGGGTGGCACATGTGCCAGTGCTCAGGGGTTGACAGGATACCGGGTCCATAAGTTGAGCACCATCAACGTCGTATGGCGAGTCAGGCGTTCGCAGCACCTTGGCCACAAGTCCCAGTCGCGAGGTGACGTTGCTGATGTATGTGGGCTCGCTCATTGGCAAGACATGTAATGCGCCGGGGGCTACTGACGCATGCGGGGTGTAAGATATTTGCCATTGCAGAGGCTGAAAGATGTCAAGACAATAGTACAATGACTCGACTGTAACCCGGAGCGTGAGCAAGGAATTGGGATGGTGGAGGGGTTCGAGTCGGGCAACGATGCTTGCCATGTCTTGGATTTCATTGCCTGGACGATCTTGAATAAGGCCCACGACACCCATGATTATATCGAAATTATAAGACGTACGTCGACGACAATGTAACCAGCAACTGAGGCCGTGACTCGCGATAGTAAGAGTCAGTTCGAACGCTTACCGTTTTGTTGGTTGCGCAGGGCTGTCTACGGCATCTCCCAGCGCCCACTCTTTCCTCCGTCCTTCAGCACGACCCTCAGGTCAGAAATGACCATACCCTTGTCGACTGCCTTGCACATGTCGTACACCGTCAGGGCCGCCATGCTCGCTGCCGTCAGGGCCTCCATCTCCACCCCCGTCTTCCCATCACACGTGACGGTCGCCTCGACGTCGATGCGACGCAGCCATCACGGCTTCTCTCCTCCGCCTCGCGCGGGCGTAGCTCGACGCTGACGTGGGAGATGGGGATGGGGTGGCACAGGG